AACTATCATGTCTAAAACTTGAGTATTTATTCATATAAACTTCGTAAAAGAATTTTAACTGAAACTAATGTTGAAACTAGCGAGTCAGAATGATTATAAACAACCGGTGAATATCGCTAGTATTTTCGTACTCCAGGGCCGTCTATTCCTACCTGAATATTTGAGGCATTTTGTACCACCTCGAAGGTTCATCCACTCAGTATACCACCTAAAAAATTACTTTCTACAGGAAAAAGCGTACCACCTTACGTTTGTTTCAGGCATTGCGTCTCAAACGTCCTACAAGATAGACACCCCTGTCTTACTCATGTTTTCTACTTGTGTTACAGGCAAAGTATTTGTTGTTTCTCATATTATTCTCGTGTGTCTGACATATCTCTAAGAACACAAAGAAATTTCATACTTGTCTTATACCCAATATGTCCTAAAGAGAGGAAAAGATGGTAAAACCCTAAGAACGTTAAGAGAAACCGTGTATACTATGTTTACCTTATGAAGTTAATGACCACTACTTTTATTTAGATGTCAAGCAAATTATCAGCTTCAGATGATCAGAGTCTTGCCACAACTTATGAAAAGTACTACCGAAATAAAATTGTATCGGCATTACTTGACATGTGCCATGGTAAATTCGTCGTCTATGATCCAAAATTAACCGCTCAAATTTTACCATCAGATATTGACTCGTTGTCATCTGATCAGTTTAGTTCGAACGATGTTGTATGCTTATGCTAAGCAAGTAATTATTGATTAAACAGAAAGATTAAATTCTTGAAGATTTTATGTAGAAAAATTGTTTAACAAGACTTTCTTTTCGACCGTCTACTTTTCCTACTATTTTAGGAAAGAATTAGTATTCGCATTGCTCGTATATTCAATACTTATGGACCACGTATGCATATGGATGATGGTCGTGTTGTCAGCAATTTTATACTTCAGGCATTACAAAATTGAATCAATAACAGTTCGTGATATGAAAAGAAGAAAGCCCTTTGCCTTTTAAATATTTATTTTTATTTATTTTTTAAGATCTATGGTAGTGAAAAGCAAACTCGTTCATTTGCGTATGTCAGTGATTTAGTTGATGGTTTAATAAAGTTAATGAATAGGAATTATTCGAGTCCGATGAACATTGATAATCCAGATGAATATACAATCGAACAATTTGCATTAATTATCAAAGATCTTGTTGGTAAGTGATTTTTTTTATCAGTGTAAAAAATCATCATTATTTCTTATTTATTTAAGGTGCAAACAGTACTCTTGTTTATAAAGAGGCTTGCACAGATGATCCAAAACAAAGAAGACCTGATATTACGTTAGCTAAAACAATATTAAACTGGCAGCCAACAGTTCGTATAACTAAGCTGAAGCTTGCATTCTACTAATCTTTTTTGTTTTGTTTTCTAGGTCAAGCTTAATGAAGGTCTTAACAAAACGATTGCTTATTTTCGAAATGAATTACTTGTTAAACGTCATAGCGAACGAAATGTTTATTTTCCAACTGAATGAATGCATCATTCTGATATATCTTCTACTGTTAAAGTGCCATCAGGTTCCAACTTACATGAAGATTTCTAAATTGTTGAAAAACTGGTTCCAATCATAACGATCTACAAGTAGGATCGCTGATGAATAAAAATTACTTGTTTGCAATCTCAATTATTATGATTTTTGGATGATCTATTAAACAAATTCCTTCAATATTGCCTGTGATGGTGTCCAATTTCATTGGATTTATTTTTTTTTATAGTTATTTTTATTTAATTCGTTCAAAAGAAAAACAAAAATCAATAGTTTAGTCTTTTTATCGGCATCCATATTATAACTATTGCATATAATCTTGAAAACTATCGATTCTAGAATAATCATGTGTCTTAATGGAAATAGGTACAAATTGGAAAGTTTGCCATGTATTTTTACAAGCTTACACCGTCCATGTATAAACTTTATCGGAATGACAGATATATAATCGTAGATATTAGGTACAGATAGATTGACTCACGAGGATCTTGAGAAAATACCGGTATGCGGAAAGAAAATATGGAAATCAATGAAAACGTTTTAGAAATCAGATAATATTAGTGACTATTATTAGAAAGAACAGAATATTATTTTTTACTTCGAATGGATAGACGCTGTCTTTTTAAAACGATGTAATATTATGGAGTTAAGATTTTAATATTAATTAAGCAAATTATCATCCAGTAGGCAATTACTGTATTATTCTATTATTCTAGATTTATCAAAGAATTAATATTTCAGTTAATGAACAATAAATGCGGACAAAATTATATTGATTTTAATAATCCAAGTGTCTATTTTATTCTACATGGTACTGAAACAAACTAAGCATCTTTATTTAAAGCGCGCGATACACTCCTTAATCTATAAATGAGAATCGCTGTACAAGTCAGTCAGTCAGTCCCAATTTTTAAAAGTTTATGTCGAAAGAAACTTATAAATAGAATGAAGGGTATTGCTCGGTATGCAGCAGAGCATTTAGAACGTAAATATCATAGGCGACGTTTCAGGAGCGATGCTTTCTTCTCTTAGTTTTCAATCAAAAGAGAATAACGTAATCTTTATTTCATGTCAAATTTGTTTGAAATTTTTCGATAATGAATGTTGACTAATTTCAGAATTATACATCAGTCTAAACCAGTTAACAGTCTTTTGAGTAGATGCGAATTCGCTTGGGTATAAAATATCAATATTGTGTTAATTGTATGAAATGATCTTTATATTTTTCTGAAAATAATAAAGTAATTTCATACCTGTCTTATACCCAATATGTCCTAGAGAGAGGAAAAGATGGTAAAACCCTAAGAACGTTAAGAGAAACCGTGTATACTATGTTTACCTTATGAAGTTAATGACCACTACTTTTATTTAGATGTCAAGCAAATCATCAGCTTCAGATGATCAGAGTCTTGCCACAACTTATGAAAAGTACTACCGAAATAAAATTGTATCGGCATTACTTGACATGTGCCATGATAAATTCGTCGTCTATGATCCAAAATTAACCGCTCAAATTTTACCATCAGATATTGACTCGTTGTCATCTAATCAGTTTAGTTCGAACGAAAACGACAAATTATCTGAACGATCGATCGTGTTAGCACAAGATTTATTAAAAACGTTAATATCTACGGATGGAAAATCATCGTTCGACCTTATATACACACAATTGCGTTCAACAATCAAAGATGAGAAAGAAAGTTCGGTACGTTTTGATAAACTGGAAGCAGACGTATTGGTCGGCGTAAATAATTTATGTACTGATGAGTGCTTAATATCGAAATTTATACTGTGCGCTCCAGCGACGATCGAAAAACCAAAACGTGATACTTATGAAATTAATGAAAGTGACGCCGAAAAATTAGAGCTCATTTCTGAACAATCTCCATCACTTATTGTGGAAGATACACATTATATAAACTTGAAAAATAACTCTCCGTGCAAACAACAACAGCCGCAATTACCAAAATTTTCTACGTCATCCTCATCGTCATCGGCATCCTCGTCGTTAAACACGTCAGCAGAAAAGGAAGCTTCGATACAGGCAAAATTTAGTTTTAATAGACGTTATTGTTTATTTGAAATCACGTCGAATCGATCAAATTGGATGGAAAAGCTTTACCAACTCGAAAGATTATTAATGTTCATTGTGGCACGTTTTTATTATCGTCAGAAGAATAATGTCAATGTTCAATCATTAGACAGTGAGATAATGAAAACATTCCTCAATCAATCTGCTGACAAATTATCGGTAAATGACTGTTCAAGTGTATTATTAAGCGTTATTGGATTTGTAGGAATTTGCCAACCACAAAATAATAGCGGTTACATTAAAGAATTTTTAACAAACAACGGGCATTATCAAACGCTCCGCTTATTACCAGTTCTATTTAACAACGGAAGATTTTTATTCTACCATGGAGTAAAAGCATTACCCGAATCAAGCAATGAAAATAATTCTACAATTCAACAATTGTTAAAAGTGTATTTTAAATCGAATCAATCACACGGTAAGAAAAACAAAATCATATCTTCCTTTTAAGTGGACTTTTTATGCGAAACGTCGGACCAGTTCTCCATAGGATCCTGGCACAGTTAGGTCTCTTCCATTAAAAACTGACTTAGTCGCTTTCTGTTTAGCTAATATGATACGGGATTTAAAACACGATTACGGACGTGTGATACAACAATCGACAAAGACTATTGAAAATATCAAAAGAAAACATGAAAAACAAATTTTACAACTGAACCAACAACAACAACAAGCTTTGGAGAAAAAAGTCAAAATCATCGACGATAAAGACGTAATCATGGCGAATCAAAATCGAGAAATACTGAAACTTGAACGAGACGTATGCGACCTGAAATCACAAGTCAGACATATCGAGCACAAGTTATCAGCCAGAGAATCCGAGCTTACCATCACAAAATTGCAATGCGAAAAGACTGAATTAGAAAAGAAATTGGACAAATTGTTAAAAGTACAAGAAGAATTAGCAAGAACAGATCTTCGTAATATTCGTTTGACTCTCATCCTGACTGCAATAATCGGAATCCTTTTCGGCTGGTTCTGCTGTCTAGTTGGTTGTGCTTTCGTCTTCATTTCAAGTACGTATAAACAATCTTTGTTTTGCTAACGGGATATTTCTTAGGAAACTAGCAAGAAACCATTGTAAAATATTATTATTTTTGTTAGTAAAAGATTAGCAAGAAATAAATTTAGTTGACATGCACAATGTACTGTGGAACATTCTATACACGCTTTTATTTATCAATGGCATTTTTCGTTTTGAACCTGTGGAATTTCTTTGTCAAACGAACTTCTTTATTCTGTTCATACCTTTAGATCGAAAATGAGTCGTTTATTTGTTTTCAAGCATAATGTGTGCAACCTTCTCATGGTCAACGATCTAATTTAGAGCTTGTTTATCAAGTAAGAAGGGGTTGTTGAGTTATATTAATTAATATTCGATTATTTTTGACGATGAATTTTAGAAATTATTGAACGAAAACTTGGATGCCAGTCGGATTAGTGAAGAAGAAATATTCGAATTGTACCACTAACGGATAACTTTTATATTTTTGAACCATTCTATGGACCGATATTTGAACATTTAAAAAATATTGGAGCGCGGTATATGTACATGTGTGGGTTTTTCTTTATGCATCACCATTATATTCTCCCTTTTCCAGCCTTTTTAGTTCACCTTGTATCTTGAGTTCTCTATCGTCTGATACAAGTATACCAGTTGTAAATTATCCGATTTAAGCTGTTCCGATGAGAAATATGTTTGTTACAAGTATTGGTGTTGAAAAACAGATTCAAACATGTATATTACTGCTGTCCGTTAAGTCCTTAATATTTTATCATTTTCATTTTATGACGATATATTTCAAAAATTCACTTGATGAGTGGTAGAACAGACAATAAATTTGTTGATGCGACATCAGTGAAACGGAAAAATATTTGGTTAGTATTAGGTCTTATCTTTGGTTGATATGTCTTCACCTGTATTATGGTTATAGGCTGCTGTTGAACGTGATATTTCGGTGTATATGTTCGATTGGGTTGTCAAAGTTTGGAATATGTGTCAGAAAAAGTAATGGGTAATTTTTCTTTCTGCTTTTATTTCATCCCAGCACACAGTTTACATTAAAATTTTTTTAGAATATGCTGGACACAAAATGAAGAATTTAATAAATATAAATGTCCGCTATCCAAAAGTCTTTTATTTACAACCACTGGAATATCGAGCGAAGATCGTTTAAATATTCAGTCAAAAATAAAACAGAATGGTGAGTGTACCTAGCTTGGTGCGATACTCTTTTCAACTCAGCGAAGCTCTATTCATTCTTTTAGATGGAAAATTCACATCGCATTTAACAGGCAATAGTACACATGTGCTTTGTGGAAAACCGGACCATAGAATGGTTCAAAAATATAAAAATTATCCGTTAGTGGCGCAATCCGAATATTTCTTCTGCACTAATCCAATTGACATCCAAGTTTTCGTCACAGTTTTTGTCACTGCATATATTTTTATATTCTATTCTATTTTTGTTATTTTTACCGTCCATGAATTTAAGTTTTCATATCGAGTTTCATTAAGTAGATGTAACACAAAAAATATTCCACGCAATTAACTGAGATTGTTAGTTAAACAAAAAAATTTCAAAGTTTTTTCTTGTGTTGATAATGAAGTAACATATTTATCTGTTTATTGCTCATTCGGAATTAGAACAAATCTGCCACTCATTTATTTCTTTTTTTTATTTGAAAAAAGACTAGATACTTTTTTCAATTTACTGTTGTATATATCATTTTTTATACATCTCTATGCTTGTGCTTCTCTATGTTGTCGCAACAGTTAGATTCTTTTTCTGTTTCTGAGTAAATATGTAAATGAAGTCCAGTGTTTCAACGTCTACTATTTGTTTTTCCTTTTTGTACATAGAACATTGACTGTTGTCTCTCTT